CGCACAACCGATGGCCCCGATGGTCCGACAAATCGGAATTATTTCTCGCTGCGAGACTATAAATCGAACGATTAAATCTCGCTCGGGAGGGGGGCCGGACCATCCCGGTCAAAACGTAACGCGCTGAAGCGAAATTAAAAGGGTCGCTCTCGCGGATTCATGGTTCCCGTGTTGCAAATCGCGTTACGTGCACGAGTTGGGGTAAATTGCGAAATTTCGCGAATACTACCGCGTAGACGTCGTAATTAAAATTTCGCCATCGATGCGTAACGCTTTATTATGAAAGGACAATAATTGCCATGGAAAATCATACACAACGAGCGATTTTTCGACTCACAAGAATGTTGAACATCAGAAATTCTAAAAGTGTATTAAGTGCTTTTAGAAAAATTGTTCCGCGATATTTTTCTCGCTGCGCCTTGTTGTCGATCGTGGCCGAAATGGCGAAATTTTCTCGAGTGATTGTTGACCTTCGAGAAGAGAATGGATTCGGTCGGAAAGAAAACCGCGATCTTACGGTGTTTTGCATCGGGACAATGCATCCATCCAGGGAGTTTTCGACCCCCTGGAAACACTTCACTGCTCCTCTCCAGACATGTCGCCAAAAGGCGACTTCTTTCCTCTTCGAGGGACGAAGAATCGCCTGAAAGGACATTATTTTCAGACGATCGATAACATCTAGAGCGCCGTAACCGAATCCCCGAAGAAGAAAACTTGCAGTGCTTCCGCGAAAGTGGAGGGACTTCGCGAGGAATTTATTTTCGCGGAGACAATCGGAATTGCGAGTTCGGAGAACCGCGGAAACCGGGAACTGTCGGCGAGCGAGCGACCGGGAAAAGTCAGAGAAGTAGGTCCTTTGTCTTTATTATTTTTCGGACGATATAGCGCGCTGGGAAAAAGGACTCGAAAACATTTGCGGGAAATCTCGGCGAGAACGAGATACAGAAATCAATAGAGATTTTGGGAGAAAACGTATTTTCGATACCGTTTTTGCCGGCAAACTCGATTCTAAAATTTACAATGAACCTTCCGCTAATTCTGGCACACCCCCGTGCACAGCGGACGCTCAGGCCGCGCTTTGGCGCGCGGTCAAATTAGATTCGACATTTGTTTAACTTTCAATTGAATGCGGTTTAGATCGCGCGCGGGCGCGCACGGGTGCGGGTTTTCAATTAGCGTGGAAACTCCACGCACAAGTCGTACTCGCTCGTATGCACTCGATGTTGTACGGGCGCTTCCCGATTTCCGATTTCCGGCGCTCGGTTTCCTACAGCCGCTTCATCAAAAATCGCCGGGCCATAGAGTACATATCGACATTCATTGCGAGGCGAGCGACACAATCGAATTATTGTTCTGTGAAATTTCGAATTTATCAAAAATTCGCTTTGATCGAATCTTGTTTTTTTTTTTTTTTTCTACGGCGACGTACTTTTAATATTCACCGTGTGCGAAACGCGTATCCTCGAGGTATCCTCGCGGCAAGAAATCGCCGTTTTTTGTTTTCTACGCTGTCAACGTAATACCACTTTAACGGGTTGGCGCTCTTCAGAAGCGGCGCAATAAGGGAATTTCGTCACGGGACAAAAAGCGGGAAAGAGAGAGAGAGAAAGATAGGGAAAGAGCGCACGGTCGCTGTCGAGGTAAGTGAGCTTGACCGCTGCTTTCTGCTCGCGACGTGCAGTTTCAAAGTTTTCGCCAGCTGCATTCCAGCCCGGCCATCTCGATCGACTTTCAATAGCGATAGCGGAGAACAAAGCCGAATCTCGATAAACTGCTGGGTTCACTTAAGTGGAGTTTCATTTACGCGATAATGAACGATACGAGCGAAGTGATGCAAATTCGTTTTTAATCGTGGGATATAAATTGCGTCACAAAACACGCTCGTCACCAAACGCGCTCCGTTTGTTGCAATGCAAATTTGCTGCGTAACGTTGATTCGCCTTTTTTTTTGTCTCTCGAGCGGGAAAAAAGGTATGAATACATAATCGGAGAAGTATAAACAATCGGGACATTTAAAATGGAATGTAAAATAGCCCGAGGACATTCGATAATATGGCGTAAAACCTCTCGGCTGAATTGGAAATTAACGTTGTAAACACGAGAACAGCGGCTAAAACGGGCGACATGAGCAATGAAATTACAGAATCTCCTATTATTATTGCTATTATTATTGTTATATATTACCATTGTTAATACTATATATATTATTATATGCTTCGTGATTCTATTACTACACAGCGATGAATATCAATCGCGCTATTGAATAATAAATCGCGAAAGCGTCGATCCAATTTCAAAAAATCGCATATTTTACAACAGCGAAAATTATAATTGCGCGAAAGCTATGGTCGAATTTTTCGTTTCGTCGTTTTCACGCTTTTCTTTTTTTTTCCTTTTCCTTTCCAGTTTATTGCTTTTTTCCGTCGTCATTGATATTACAGCTGCCATAATTTCGGATGTGTGGAAGCACTTAACATTCTCCACTTTTCCTAAATTGAATTTATAATGTATATCTTTTGTTTTCATCCGTTTCGTATGCGGCTATTGTTCTGCAGTTTTCGCGATTAAAGTTTAAATTGCTCGCGAACGAATTTGATACGATGGCTGAGCCTGATGGAAGCGGGACGCTTGTGATTATACACGCGAAAGGTAGAAGTCAAATATTTGATGGACATCGTAACTTTCGGCTGGATTCGCTCCGCGCTCCGGCAAAAAGAGGATAGGATCGCCGCTTTTCCTACCATTGCGTGTCGCAAATTACTGTTCGGTGAAATCGAAACTCCATCATCAAGATGTATAGCGGAGTAATAATTCAACTTGTTATTTCCGAAAGAATTTTTTCTAGTTTGATTATCTAATTTTGAACAATTTAAATACACAGATGGATTTTCCGATTATGTTTGATGATTTCAAAGTTTATTATTATTATTTTATATCACAAGAGTTAAATATACTTTGACCGATATATTTCGCATCTTTCTATTAATATTGATATTCTGTTGGTTGATTCTTTGAGTTGTTATTGCCGCGTGTATTTACATTCGCGTTTCGCTAAAGAAATTATTAGAGTCTTAAAAATATTGTAATTTTTTTTATAAACGCCGCATCTTTATAATTATTAGGTTGATGCAAAGGATTTGTCGTATTTATCAAAAGACAGAATTGCAAGGTTTTTAATGAAATTTTATAAACAAAATAGTCATCATTGACTGCAGTACATTTTTTTATCCGGAAACAAGATTTTATAGATGTGATTTAAATAAATCCGAGTTTTTTGAATGGAAATTGATGACTTTATTTAAAATAGAGCTTCAGGGAGAAGTGATGGACTTTTTGTACCGACCTAGTATATTTATGGATTCTAAGATTTGATTCCGAGTTGGTCGAATAGTGGCGTACGTTGTTCCTTATTAGAAAACTGACATAACCGAACGATTCAGGATGAATCGATAGGCTTCTCGGAAATCCAACTTTGGACCGCCCTGCGTTCTGGAATCGATTCGTTCTCGTTAGCGCGCTAGTCAAGCAACGATTATAATGGGATATCGGTTTAAAGGTACGACGTCGCTAAGGCACGTCGAACTTCTTTCATTAAACTTGCACGCTGGAAACGAACGACGTATCATTATACATAAAGCATTTTGTCTGGAAAAAAATATTTGACCCAGTATCGAGACGGTATTTTCGACTCTCAGTATTTCAGTGATAAAAAAAGCAATGAGAACCAGACGGAGCGTGCAAGAATTATCAACTGTTATTTATCAATATGCAAAGAACGTTCTAGCCGCAATTTCGGGCTCTTTTCAGCCTATGAAAATGCAGAGAAGATTAAATTATATGAAAATTATTAAAAAAGAATAAAATTCGAATAATTAATAGGACAAAAGGTGAATTTATTAACCGCACATGTCAGAGCAAACTGACAAAGCTACCAAATCTTTGATCTTTTAAAACATTGTTATCTAAATGATACCGAATCAGTCAAATAAAATATATTTTGCTATTTTTTCTATCAAAAAAATTCTATTTCCATTTCACTGTCGAAGCTAAAATATAGACGAAGGTATAACAAAGATAAATCGATGGTAGATGAAAAAATCTGAATACATTCGAGCGCGCAAGATTTATAATTCACCGCACGTCAAGATTGTTAACTTGCGCTCCGCTTTAACATCGTTTATCGATATTTTTTAGCCCCGAAAGTTAGGATTTGTCGGGCGCAATTCGCGTCGTAACTCCCGGCGCTTAGGCTTCTTGTATCGGCCATTATACTCGGATGGTGAGATAGGTGTTTTAGAGATGCATACGGTACAGATACCGAGCGTGCGATAAGCGACAATATTTCTCGAGTGCCAGTAGCCGTATGGCGTCGTAAACATCGATATCGTTGAGGATCTCTCTCCCTCTCTCTCTCTCTCTCTCTCTTCTCTCTCTCTCTCTCTCTCTCTCTCTCTCTCTGCGCTCCAGAGCACTGCACAGATATCAATTTTACGACGACAATTCGACGTGCTAGACAAATACCGGGCTTAAGGTACCAAGCACGAGAACAATATCGACGGCGCACGTCCGGAGGAACCGGACAAGATTCATGAGAGCCGGGTAAGTCGCTCTCGGGAAAAGGAAAGCGCGAGGAAAAAAGATCGCGGTGAAACAATGCGTGTTTGTTTTACGCCGACAAAGAGGAATATCTTCTCAAAGCGATCGATGAATTCTCAAAACCGATCCGCGCTCGCTCTTCCGCCGCCGTTTCGAGATTCCGTCTGTCCGCGGAGAGAGTCTTTGATCCTACGAGGGTCAAGAGGTCAAAACCTCCTTTGTGAACCTCTCTCTCTCTCTCTCTCTCTCTCTCTCTCTCTCTCTCTCTCTCTCTCTCTCTCTCTCTCTCTCTCTCTCTTTCTCTCTCTGACGTTCAGTAACGTACGATGATGGTTCCGCGAGTTCCTCCGAGTTTAATTCCGAGATTTGAGGAAAGTGCTAATTAAAGTTTGTTTGTGTTGCAGATACAATGAGGTAGTAGATTGCCCACGGAGCTTCTGGTGAGAGGCGGTTTCTGACGCGGCGGGCGATATGTTGTTGCCGAACCGCAGCGGCCGGAAAGGGCCCATCGCTTGTCTGGTGGCCCTCCTCTTCGTCTTTGCTCTGTATCAGCTGGGCATTATTTGCGGCACCAAGTACATGCCCACGGCTGTGATGGTCGGTAAGGAGGTGAGAGACAAACATGTATTCTAATAATACTCTTCTGTTTGAAGGAAGTCACATTTTTTTCATATATATCGATTACACGAACGAGGTAAATTCTTTTCATAACGAATATGAACTTTTTTTTTCATTTAAATAAAACAATTATATTCCGAAATGTTAGATAATTAATTAAAAATACAATGTCTATACACTTTTGTTAAAAACGATTCTCTCTGTTGAAGCGAGAGGTTTTAATTATCCGTATGCACATACTCCGCTCTTCCGATGCAATAATAACAATAATATTTGTTGAAAATAATAATAGCGAGATAATATAATATGCGAACGCGATGTACGCGATGGGGTTCCTACATTATTAATCAGTAATTCATAGCTGTCAAAGTATTAATTGTGCGCTGAGTTGTTAAGAACTCTGTTTCGCGCGACACCTACGTGGCTATTGAATTCCAATTCGAATGAATCCGAATAATTGTAATAATTGAATACGCGACACGCGGTGTGAAGTTTGTAGATAACAGGTTATCTAAATTTGAATACAACGTATTCGTCCAAATCAATGCTACCTTCTTTAACGTCAAAAATTATTTTAACGATTTTTTATTTAATGTTATTTTCATTATTAGAAGCATCGCTAGAATTTTTCTTAAAGTAAGCAATGGCAGCTTGACAGCAAATTTGATCAAAATTGATCCTTGAAAAAAGTTTTGAGAAAAATATCGAAGAAATTGTGAAAATGTTAAAAGGAGCATTTGTTCAGCTGAAAAAAGATTCGATCCACATTCACAGATAGCTAATGTAATCAAATTTGATTAAGTTTACTGTCAGTCAACTGTCTGATATTTGGTTATCTGGAAATGTCGGCCGAATCTTTTTCAGCTGCAATATTTTCATAATTTTTTCAATATTTTTCTCAAAACTTTTTTAACGAGAAACTTGATCCTCCGCTTCTGCAGAATATCAGTCAATATTTCCGATAAATACTTTATAAAATGCAACATAAAAATTTATATGCACATGGTTTATTCAGAACGAAACGTATTGAGAGTAGCGGAAAGACTGATTCTATCTCGTCCCATTCCCAGCGTTCTTTCACGAAATTAGGAGAAAAAGAAATGTGTGTCTATAAACTTAACTGTCAGGCCGCGTATTAGTAGACGGCAAACGGCGGCAGCTGCAACTAAAGCTTCATCCTAGCCTTAATCAACGCCAAACTGCCGGACGTAGACGGAGAGAGATGCCCGGCATCTCGGCGTTCCCGAAGAATAGTTCGACGAACTTGCTCCACTGACGAACTCGATACACCGACGAGTCTAACTTTCCGAGCCAACCATTCCGCGTCTTCTCAATCTACTTCCGCTATCCGCCATCGACTTTGAGGCGCTTTTATTAATTTTCTTGTAGACTTACTTTAATTGCGTTAAGATAGTTACGGTAAAGTACCGGAACGAACGACGAATAAGAGTTTATATTCCACTTACTTATGGACGTAACTCGTTGGAGTATTCTTAAGTGTTCAGACGATACTATTTTGCGGAATCGGCACACGTTTTAGGCAAAAATTTGCAATTTTTCTCATTATAATGAAAAATACAAAATATATATTTTACATTGAAAGTTAACAGAGCATAAAATAGAAGAGAGATAAATTTTATTTAAATTATTTAATATTTTTTTTACAGCAGACAAGTAACGAAATATTTCGATTGTTATATAATATGTGTATTATTTTATTAATATTTTTATACGACTCTACTATTATATTGTATTGATTTGTTGAACACAGAAATACGTAGTCGGGCCATTTGATCGGAAGACGTATACGTATGACCGTTATATGCCGCTCATTTTCATCGGCGGTGTACCACGATCGGGTACTACCCTGATGCGTGCCATGTTGGACGCGCACCCTGATGTGAGGTGAGTGGCGCAATTATCTCCTAATGTGATATATCCACTAGGACGGTATAGTGCCGCAATTATGTTGTAAAGTGATGTATCCGCTGGAACAATATTGGCAAAAGTGGACATTTGCAAGACATTCATAGTTTTTCGCTTAACACTGCAAAAAGTTGCGTTTTATAATTTACATGTGCGAGTTGATACAATTTCTGATGGAAAACAGCGTTTTATGAAATCAAACTGATTTAACTTAGCTTTTTTGTAATTAACATATGTGCAATTGAAATTTTATTCTTATCCCAATTATTGTAATTTATTCTGATAATTGTAAAATTTTCTTTCCATCAAGATGTGTTTGGATTGAATTTTAATTAATCGAACTGACTTCATTTCTAGGTGTGGACAGGAGACCAGAGTCATCCCGCGGATTCTCCAGATGAAGATGCACTGGTCAAAGTCCGAGAAGGAAAATGTACGGCTCACAGAGGCGGGAATCTCGAAGGAAGTAAGTGTGCGCTCCGGGTTGTACGAACCCTCGGGAGAAATAACGGCGGCGAGTTACTGGCGCGGCAAAAGCGGGTATATTTCAACACAGATTTGAATAATATAAGTATCGCCTTGCGAGAAATCCTTGGTAAAAAGTTTTCAACGTTTTTCGAATTTATCGGGAGAGAGTGAGACTTCTCTCGCGTACTCTTGACAAACGCGAGGAATAGCTGGAACCTCGCCATCGCGCGCGAAATATTCGCATTTACTTAAATGCGCCCCGCTGTTTAACCGCCCGCCGTTCTCCCCGAAACTGGACGGAATTAAAATTTATATCGGTTTGAGTAATTGTTTTACCGTAACGTAAAATTATAAACTTTGCTCTCACCGCGGAATCGCAACTCGGTCGGGGTGGTTTAAAAGCTAACGTAAGGGAACCGTGCCTTTTCGAGCTCGTTTCGTCTAAAATTCAACGCAATTAAAATCCACGCGTATATCCGAAACTTTCACGTTGCAATAATAATGCGGAAGACCGCCCAACTTTCGTGGCGTTTAATATATCAAGAGTGTGTTGCGTTTTTTTTTTTTTTAGGTGATAGACAGCGCGATAGCGGCGTTCTGTCTGGAAATAATAGCGCGCCATGCCGAGCCTGCGCCGAGGTTGTGCAACAAGGACCCACTCACTTTGAAGATGGGCTCATACATTCTGGAACTTTTTCCGAACGCCAAATTTATATTCATGGTGCGCGACGGACGCGCTACCGTGCACTCCATCATATCCAGGAAGGTAAGAAAATCTTCTGTAGTCTTCTGTTATTTTTCCAAAAACGTATTATCAAGTTTCGTCATTTTCTTTTATCGAATTTTGTTCTAAATAATGTCACTAATTTATTTTTATTTTGTTTTAGAAATTGAGAAACTTATTATTGCTAATATGACTTTTTAAATCTTGTAACAGCAAGCGATATTCTGCACAGCGTTTTCTTTTTGCACTTTCGAATATAGAACGCATGATCTTACAGTGTGACACAATTGAACGCAGAGATTCCACGCGGCACGTTCTCTTTCCGCAGGTCACGATAACGGGGTTCGATTTATCGTCCTACCGGCAGTCTCTCATCAGGTGGAATCACGCAATTTCCGTAATGTATGGCCAGTGCAAGGAACTGGGACCGGAGAGGTGTCTGATGGTCCCTTACGAGCAGCTGGTATTGCATCCGCGCCAATGGATGAAGAAGATATTAAATTATTTAGACGTGCCGTGGGACGAGTCCGTCATGCATCACGAAGAATTCATTAATAAACCCGGCGGCGTGCCTCTGAGCAAGTAAGCAAAGAAAAAGAGGAAGAAACAGAGCATGTAACAATGATATAGAAGACAATGGGAAAGCGTGATTCTCGGTGCGCACTACTGAGATAATTATAAATTGATATATTTAAGTAGCGTAAAAAATTTTCATATATTAATTTACAATAATTAGTAGTTCTCGCGTTGTCTTCAGCAACCGCACTTCTGGTTCTCATTGTCTTCCGCACCATTGTTTGTCTTTGAGGAACCACACGTTGCGTTATTCAGTACGTCTGAATCCAGGATTATCTATGAGAAGTTCCAAAATTAACGAGACTAAAGTGTATGAATGATACATGAGTGCATGAAAATAACATGCGATGGCACTATAGAATAATATTATATATTATTAACGTTAATGTAATGTAATAACGATGTAATAATGCCCCGCATTAGGAATGTGGAAATGATGTGGCAACATAATAACGTTTCGCATTATTAATATTTGAAGTGACGCAATTATACGACAAATAAACTTTTCATCAACATCAAAATAATACATTAGCGAAGGAAGATAACGTTTTACTAATGTTAATATAAAAAAATTTATAAAAATGATGACGTGAGTTCTCTACGTTGACGTCACAATTATGTTGCAGGGTTGAAAGGTCGTCGGATCAAATCATAAAACCGGTAAATCTGGCGGCGCTGACTAAGTGGGTCGGCAACATTCCCGAGGACGTGGTGAATGAGATGGCGGAAATAGCGCCGATGCTCTCCGTGCTCGGCTACGATCCTTACGCAAATCCGCCCGTTTACGGCGCGCCGGATAGTTTAGTTAGCGATAACACCAGACGGTACGTGCTCATTTCTTACGCCATATGGTTGTTACGTTACGTACGAAATGGTTTGTAAAGGTGTTCGCGTAATGCGCGATGCGCTAAGCCGAAGCAAACTTATTTTTAAGTGTTAAAGGCGTGCAAAATATTAATATTACAATTAACGTGTAAAAATTAATTGAGAATTTTGGTATTACTTCAAACTTTTATGTCTTGACATTTATATATTTCTAATTTCAGGGTGTTAGCCGGCGAAAAACTCTGGGAGGAGAAGGCGCGGGAGTATCATCTGTCGCACAAGCCGGCTGAAACCAGCAACGAGGACGCTGCTTCCAGCACGCCCTCGGTCGCGTGACCCCGCGCGATTCTGCTAGGCGCGTACGACACGTAACCAACTGCTGTCTTAAGTCTCTAACCGACTTAGGATTTCCGCTGTGGAGCTTTCCTCTCGTACTTTCGAAGTAAACTCGATTGTATACGACGACAAGTCGAGGATTAATCATCCTCGTTGTGTGCTCTCAATCTTCTACGTTATTGCATCCCAATCTACGTGGACAATCGACTAATCATTGTTCTCCTCGCAACGTTTACTTATTCACGTCAGGTTTGCGTTTTACGAAATCGGAAGACTTGTCACACTAGGCCGTGATTAGGAAATACAAAGTATCCCGCGAGGTAAGTGTGATCAAACTTTAATATAATACTGCAGAAGTTGTTAAACAACTTGTTTAACAGTCCACGCAGCATCAACAAGAAAAGGAAGAAAAGTTGGCAACAATGCCATTAATGTTTGTTCTAAGACCAGATTTCTAAGGCGCTCCTGTAAAATTCTGCCAAACGAAAACTGTTTATAATTTTGAAGGAAAACATTCTAGAATATATAATCGTGTAACCTTTCGTACTTATAAGCTCTCAAAGTTTGGTCACATATTTCTAGGATATCTTGTATATATTATCAACGACTATATAATTAATTTTTAATAATGATATTTTTAATAGTAAAATTATAATTAGCTATTTGAAAGATTTGGTGCAAGAATGAAGAAGGTTTATAGTCAAGGTTCGTTTTAGATAAAATTTATTTTAAGTGTTATTTATATCTAGAGTGGACCTCATGAAAAATTATCGCAGACATTCTTGCACTAAATTTTTTAGTTTTACTTCAATTTACGCGCTATTTACAGATCTATTATGTGTGTGTGTGTGTGTGACGCGTTACTTATCACAGTATAAGGATCG